TTCGAGACGCATGGATTGGAATGCAAGCTTCCCATCCTCATCCATCTGGTGCAGTGTATTGACGACATCCGTGGACCGGCTGTAGCCTTTCAAGCAAGTTGCAGTCCAACAGATCTTATGCAAATCGATAGTCATATGAAGTACGGGCTTCAATGGTTGTATGCGCACAAGGACAGCGCAAATATACACTCACCAACATTGGCCCTATGGGTCATTTGGCATTTGTGCTGGATGGAGCACAAACCTGATGAACAGACTGCAGTGATTCTCGGGAGCATGGTTTCTATATGTTGGATGTGTTACAGGCTGTCCCTTCTGTTGATGGACAACTCGCTGCACTGCCTTTAGTACGGTATCCTTCTTTGGGAAGTCTTTCACATACCTTATGACTGAACATGCTGGATCTCGTCCATCAGCAAACATCACTGCTAGCCTGGGGCACTGTTTGAGGTAGATTTCAGGGTGCTGGTGACGGTGCCAGGGCTCCTCTGAAAAGTGTAATAAGGCACTCATACTCAAGTGCCGTCATCTTGTGATCACGGGCCGTGTGCTGTCTGCATCCAAACCCTGAAAACCTCCTCCGTGTCACCCAAACCCAATCGGCTCTACAGCCCAAATCCCTAGAAGCCTTTCTTATCGACAGAAACAGGGGTCTTCGCACAGGGATAGATCGACTCTTAGCTCCCTACACGGAAGAGTAACACCGTGGCCGGCTCCCTGCATCGACAAGTGTTGGCATAAGATAAGATGAGAAGATTTTGAATCCCAGTTCTTACTAAATCACATGAAACTGGTGCGAATGCTCCGGGTTGGGTATTGTAGGGTTGAGATAGGTACGCAGCTTGGGGCTTGCAGCTCTATGTGAGGAGACACCGTCCGTAACTAGCCACAAAGCAAACCCTTTCTGTTGACTCCATGGCCTGCGTATGGTTGGGGTTCCGGCGGATGGTGCCTTGGTGAGGCCAGCGGCAAAGCTCCTGCACTTTTCACGTGCAAGTCTTAGGATATGGAGGGCGTGGGGTATAAACCTAAGCCCTTGCCCTGGAGCCTAAGGCCTATACTCTGCGGCGACCCAGCAGGCCTGTGATCTTTAAAGTCTCAAGATCTAACCAGTAAAGTTGGGGGTTTACATGCATTTGCGCAGTCGAAGCACGCTCCCGAAGATCGAACCTCCAAATCCGGAATCCTTCACCCCAAAAATTCACAGATGTACACCTACATCCCATCAAGCCGGGCACACTCCTACAACCCTGGCCCGTATGGCACCCGAAAGCCGGTACTCTAAGCTCTAGTCCAACGGGACATGGAAAGAATCATCAACATAGGGACCGAAATAATGCCTCTTTCCTGCTTAGCAGGGAGTATAGCAGTGATCCTACTTCGAGGCCCGGAAGGACAGGGCGAGTTGCAGCCGGTAGTAAGTACTCGAAAGACATGTTTCTTGACAAATAATAAAAATCACCATAAGGCGAATGAAAGCAACAATCTTGGTATCCATGCTTACAGCACGATCAGCAGATCAAGAATAAGAAGTAGCAGAACTAGATGTAACAGTTTCGAAGTAGAAGTAGAAGTGTCGGTAGGAGCAGCAGCAGCAGCAGCAGCAGCAGCAGCAGTCGCGCACTAGCGAGAAACGTAGCCACAGCGCTAGGAGCAGGCAGCTGGTATACAGGTCTGCTGTTGTTAATTAGCACGAACGGGTCCATGACCTTGGCGCAGGCAACACAACAACGAGAATGGGCCAGAGTTAGAAGGGCACCGGACCCTGTAATCGTGGTTTAACAGAATATAATGGGGCCCTATATAATCCTTATAGGCAATACAGGGTAGGGGCACTCTAAGACAAGTGGGTCTGTCCGGTCTTCAGGGCTCGGGACGTCTAATAGGGACCCAACAAAGGAACCATAACTTTGACTGTGAAGGCCCCTATGTTATTTGCCTATAATGGTCCCAGTGGGTCTGTCCGGTCTTCAGGGCTCGGGACGTCTAATAGGGACCCAACAAAGGAACCATAACTTTGACTGTGAAGGCCCCTATGTTATTTGCCTATAATGGTCCAAGTGGGTCTGTCCGGTCTTCAGGGCTCGGGACGTCTAATAGGGACCCAACAAAGGAACCATAACTTTGACTGTGCAGGCCCCTATGTTATTTGCCTATAATGGTCCAAGTGGGTCTGTCCGGTCTTCAGGGCTCGGGACGTCTAATAGGGACCCAACAAAGGAACCATAACTTTGACTGTGAAGGCCCCTATGTTATTTGCCTATAATGGTCCAGGGGTCTGTCCGGGCGTAAGGGCTAGGGAAGTGAAAGGGACCACACAAAGGAACATACTTTGACTGTGAAGGACCTATGTTATTTGCCTATAATGGTCCAAGTGGGTCTGTCCGGTCTTCAGGGCTCGGGACGTCTAATAGGGACCCAACAAAGGAACCATAACTGTGACTGTGAAGGCCCCTATGTTATTTGCCTATAATGGTCCAAGTGGGTCTGTCCGGTCTTCAGGGCTCGGGACGTCTAATAGGGACCCAACAAAGGAACCATAACTTTGACTGTGAAGGCCCCTATGTTATTTGCCTATAATGGTCCAAGTGGGTCTGTCCGGTCTTCAGGGCTCGGGACGTCTAATAGGGACCCAACAAAGGAACCATAACTTTGACTGTGAAGGCCCCTATGTTATTTGCCTATAATGGTCCAAGTGGGTCTGTCCGGTCTTCAGGGCTCGGGACGTCTCCTGCATCTTTGCTGGCACTGCTCGGCCGCTTGAAACTGCGAAAGTCCTCCCCAGGCCGCCGATGCGCAGGATTCGGGTTTTGTAATAATAATAGTAGTACTAGTACAACTAATAATCATAGTAATACGGCTTTGCTCAGGATCTGGAATTAGTTGTAAGCTGATTTTGATTTGGCGGTTGATTTTTCGGTGCCCTGGAAGGTACAAGGATTGCAGGTTTGGAAGAGGCACTGGCTAAGCTATGAGGGCTTCAGCTTGGGGACTGGAAGCGCTGCGGGTGCTGCTCATGTACGGGCCTTAAGAATTGGAATGGAATAGGGTTTTGGGGTATATTACCCTATAATGAAAATGAGGAGCCCCCAAAATTGGAGAGATATTTATTAAGGCCCCTATATCAGTGATAGTGTTGCTGTTGCTAATCTTGGCTCGGTGTGGTCGCCGGCGTCGTCCTGGCGTTGTGAATGCTGAGCTCTGTAGCGCCGGAAGACTGAAGCCTAGGTCCCAACTTCTGCGAATCCAGGAACCAAAGAACTAAACCTCCCTCGGCTTTCCTGATGAGTGTAGTGTAGACATATTTCTTCATAGCGTACACATCAAGGGATGACACAGTCAGGCATGATAGCATACGTTGTTGTCATGTCCCTTGCAGCAGATATCCAGACTAGAAATTCGCAGAATGCAAGATACAACTGTCTACACGTGTGGCTGTGTGTGCACATCTACATGCACACACTCGAGGCTCATGACATATTCCTGGTTTGAGAAAACAAGACGTGTACAAAGAAGTGCAGCAGAAGTCATAGCAAATAACCTGATGTCCCGATACATATTCCGATAGGACTGCATTAATCCCCAAACGTCCTGTCTGCCGTTCATTGTTGTAGCCATAGCTGATGTGCCTTCATAGCATATAAACGATGCCTGACAATACAGTCAGGACGATTACGATGCCCGAAACCGTAAACCCTACACGGAGGCCTCCAAGGGGCAGGATTGTGTGCCGGGCGGACGTGGAGGTGCTGCGCGGGCAGGCAAACCTGAACTCTATTCTGCTTCAATATCCAAGCATGAGGGGTTAGAGCCCGAATTTAGCGCTTCAGGAGCACTGGATCATTGCTGCTTGGCTGTAAAATTTGAGGTTTGGTGCGTCTTAGAGGCTTTAGGGAGATTAGGTCTGGCCTACTTCTGCTCTGGGAGGCAGCATGTTTCGAGTTCCACTGACAATAACTACACGATGCAACTCATGACACTCAACAAGCACAACCACGACCCTTCTTGGAGGGTCGGGGACTTAGTAAGTTTTTCTCTTATAGAGTTATAAACACCATAACCCCAACATAGGGTCCCTAGCTAGTGAGGTATTTGTAACTGTCTTTATAATAACTACTTGCAGTTCAAGCTCACAAGGCGGCGCTACCACTCAACCATGTTCGCCCAGAGTGCGAGATCATGCAATGCCCAGCACAACAAGACGGAAAAGGTACAACCTACTCACAACGAAAAGCCAAAGCTCAGCTGCATTAACGCAACAAATGCCCCGAAACCTTATCGCTTCCTGTACTGGTCGGGTTTCTTTGCCGCAGGCCTGAGACACTGGTCCAGAGCATGCAGGCTGCTAGTGACAGCATCATCTAAAACTGAAGGTTGTCATGCACTGACTTCTTTCGCCGGGTAAGATCTCAGGAGTCATCCCACCAGGGTGACTGAGAGCAACATCAGCCGGGTAGCTCCGGTGGCACCATCTCAGCCCAAGCAAACCACTGCAGCAAAAGGGTCAGGACAAAGGTCCTCTTGTCGTTCACGAAACACGGGATAATCAAGAGCCGCACTCCAACCTGCTTGCAAAGCTCGACCTTCCTAGCGTCCCTTTCCTGCAGACCGTGGAAGTTGGAAGCATCACCGACATGGAAATACTTCTCGGGATCGTAGTGCTGCTCTCCCTGGTATTCGAAAGCCAAAGACATATCTGGGCAATATCCATCCAACTGCAAGCCTTCAAGGAAAGAGGGGTAACAAGAGGGAAACGCGGCCGGATGGAACAGAGTCTCGAGGACGATGCGGATCTCTGATCAGGTTCGCCAGGTGGCGGCCGCACACTCTGGGCACCACGACTTCTTCGCGAGAGCTTCTCTTGCAAACTACATTTAAGATGATGGGCTCAACCGATACCTTTGCCGGAAGGCTCACAAAAGATCCTTGTCGGGTCCTTGCTCATAGCATTCAACATACGAGTGGCTGATTTTACCACCAATGGCGATGAATGACACTTTTCAGCAGACGCGCCCCGGAAAGGCAGCGTCACGGTCGGGCAGCTCCTTCGGCGTGATTTGAGCCCATGAGAACCATTGCAGCAATGCCGTCAGCACGAAAGTCCTCTTGTCGTTCACGAAGCATGGGACGATCAAGAGCCGCACCCCCGCTTCCATGCACAGGTTCACCTTCCTAGCGTCCCTCTCCTGCTGAGCACGGAAGCTGGAAGGCTCGCCGAAATGGAAATAGTGCTCAGGGTCATAATGCTGCTCTCCCTGGTACTCGAACGCCAGACCCAAATCGAGGCAGTAGCCGTCCAGTTGCAAGCGCTCCAGAAAGGGAGGGTAACACGTAGGAAAACTAGCCGGATGGAAGATGGTCTCCAGGATGCTGCGGATCTCCGCCTCTGTACGCCAGGTGCTGGCTGCACACTGAGGGCACCACGTCTGGTGATGCAGCACGCTGCCGGCAGAGGCCTCCCACCTGTGTCCCTCTTTGCATTCCCAGAGAAGTTTCTCTCTCCTGTTCTTGTAAGATTTGGCTAAGCACCTGCCACCCAACGAGGCGGCATGTGCCCGGAGACGTGGTAGACCGATCTTCCTGCAGTGGGGGCACCAAGAGTCCTTGTACAGAACACCCTCGGGCTTTGCTCTCCAGGAGTGGCCGTGCTCACACTCCCATTGCACCTTCGACCTTGAATTTACATATTTCTTGGCCAAACACTTTCCACCCCGACGTGCTGCGTGATCTTGCAACCGCTGCAATGGGATCCGCCGCCTGTTTCTGGCACACTCCGGGCACCAGCTCTTGAGAAACAGCACGCTGTGTGGAACAGCATCCCAGGCATGTCCGTGTTGGCACTGCCACGGGACTTTCGTTTTGTTGTTTCTATATCCGATCGCCAGGCACTCGCCACCCAGGGCCGCGGCGTGATCGTTCAACCGATCGAGCATGCTCTGCTCTCTGGCGTTGGCCTTCTTCAAAACAGGATTTGGACTCTTCGTGGATCTGCATCTCAGGTGTCTGCGGGTCTTTCTCAGCAACAAACTCACCGCAAACCCGCCACAGGCCGCAACAGCAGCAAGTCGCGACGGAGCGCGTTGGACGGCCTGCTCCCCAAGATGATTCACCCGACTGTTGCAAAAGCCGGGTATGCCTATTGAACTCGTAGCCGATGGGCCCGCATGCCAACAGCTGCCGAGCATGGCTTCATGGACTCTACATCGCACCTCCGTGCCGAAATAAATGAAGAACTCCTGCCACACCCTCAGGGCTCAAGGCCCACAGAGCTTGGGAAGATTTTGGTCGGCGAGGCTTCCTGTGACAGTTTGAGTCCTGCATTACTTCGTGGAATAACTCCCCTTTTGCAGTACTTTGAATATCAGCAAGCTAATTGCACTCTACAGCCAAGCCCAAATCAAAATTCGTTCTAGGCTTCTGTTGAACTTCCCGGGTCTTGCATCACTTCGTGAAATACCGCCCGTCGCAATACTTTCAATGTTAGCAGACCAGGTGCTACCCTTGCCTCCTCGGCTGGGGCTCGTAGAGGTCGAGGGCCTGCGCGACGCCTGCACCGACCAGCGCGGGCGGTCTTTCACGAGCTCCAATTACTCATTAGAATAGGGTTTTGGGGTATATTATACTATAATCATAATAAGGAACCCCCAAAATGTATTGGTAGTTATTTAAGCCTATAATATTTTATGATTTTTCGATCGGTGCGGGCCTGAGCTTCGCTTTCGTTTGACATTTCCCAGCCTTCGGGTCTAGCGATTAGCGATTGAGTTTCAGCTTTGGTAGTCTTCTTGGCGTTTCGGCGGGTTTAGGGACGAAGTGCTGAAAGCTGTCGGGCTTTAGGGTTCGTGGTGGCGTCTTGGTGACTTCTTGCACTTTGTTCGCCCCTTGGCCTGCAGGCTTAACTTGGGAGGTTTCGAGCATTCCAGACTTCAGTCCCACACCTGTCGCACCACGGAATTTTGCACCCTAGACGCTACAAACCCCGAAGCACCCTGAAGCCCAAAAACTCCTAAAGAAGCAGCCAGAACGTTACAACATCTTCATGCTCATGTCCTTGAGGTGAAATAGAAGGAATCCCAGCCCTCATCATCCTTGTCCCAAGTTCCAATTCTCCGGGGTTCAGTCTAAAGCCAATACTAGCTGGGTTTGTCGGTACGTCCATCTGCATCTGCATCTCTCTCTCTCTCTCTCTCGCTCCTTCTGTCTCTCTCTCTCTCTACGATTTGTCTCGTCTGTCTGCGATGGATTTCTGGGCACTAAGCCAAGGTGTGAACGCTTTGGTCTTAAGTCCGCCAAAAGCGGGCCTGTCTGATTCGATTCATTTACCTTTCGAGCCCTACACCGGTACATCTTCAACAAAAGGGACCGTGCCAGAAGGGCTCCGGTTGGATTCCCTTAGCCACTAAGCACATTGCTGCTGCCGTTTATGGGCCAGAGGCACATCCCCTTCCTCTCAGACTGATGTTAGCTCTGCTTGCAGAGCCGCGCAAAGCAAAAAATAGTTCCGGAACCAGAACCACGACACCGCAACCTCAATCCCCACTGTTGCCCCACACCGAGCCTGCGTTACCGTACCGGGTACGGTCAGGTGAGACGCATGCGTTTCGCGGCGCCTCCCGGAACAGTTGTTTGTTGCGGCAAACCAGTGGGATGGCATTATCATGTTCATGTGCATTACTGATGGCAAGGTCCTTTAAGTCCATGTTGCGTGCAGCCTCCAAGTATTGCAGAATAGTTTTGCTGTAATGCACGTTCGTAAACAAGTAACATAGCAGAACTGAATACTGACGGATAAGGTCCTCTGTGGCCGTGTGCTTGTGTTTTCTTTTCTTGATGGTGCTCAGCCCATGGGCCAGTTAACATTCTTTCCATTAGTTGCCCATTCCATGGATTTTTTCGCATTCCTTTCCTGTCACGATCTCAGAAAGTCTGTGTCGCCCACTATGATCCATTATGATACTGGACAAGCAGGCAATAGTGCTACGTTCTGCTGCATATCGTTTAGTAGGCCAGTCCGATTCTTGCCTTCTACAGACGAACAATCATGGGCACATTGTAGATGTGCCGGCTTGCTACCACAGTAGCTCTGACCTTTGCAGGCTTTTGCCTTCCTCTGTATACCGTAGTCATAACTGTTGTAGATATTCCCCAAGCCATGGAGGGCTGTTTAGTCCTTAATCTGACTGATGGAATATTTCTTTATGCAAGGGTTTTGGGCGCACACAGATACAACCCCCGTCAACCTTTACATGCAAATGAACAAGCCCTGATGTACCCCACCAACCAAGAGCCTGCTGTGGTTCACAGGTACGAAGCAGCAAATTCTCGTCGGTGCCTTGTTAAAATGCTAAAACCTTATCCAAAAATCCTTAATGCAACCTTTACAACACTTGCAAAGACTCTAGCATAGGGCCTTCAATAATAAGAGTCTAGTAGACTTGCAATGAAGAACTCCGCGGAATAGCATTACTGATGATTCCGACCCTATCGCCTACACCATAACCTCTAAACAATATGTGGGCCTTGATTATTAGAATAAGGCTTTGGGACCCCTGATACTATTATGATTATTATTATTACTATTATTAGTATTTTTATGATTATTATTATTATGATTATTATTATTATGATTATTATTATGATTATGATTATTATTATTATTGGGAACCGCCAAAATAGTGTAGGGACTTATTAAGGCCCCTATACTATTTCCCGTTGCATCCCCGGACCTCGGGCGCTGTTCGAGCGCGGCTACGTGGGTCGTCCCGTGGGAGACTGTGCGCGGCCGCGGCCGGGGGGAGACACCTGGCGGTTTGAGGTTTCTACACGGTACTAAAAGGGGCCCAGAGAGCCCAATACCCCTTGATTACGGAATACAGCTTAAATCATAATATGAAGCCATATTCCTTAATTCAGTGGTATGGGGAGAAGGGCTGCTGTCCGGGATTTCATGGCCCAGGGTTTGGATCGTTGGGGGGAGTTCACCCAGAGCCTCCAAAACCGCTTAATTAAGGAATATACCTTAAATCATAATAGGATCCCGCATACGCTTTAAGTTATATTCCTTGGTTTTTGCAAGCTCTGGGCAGGCGTGCAGGAGTCGGGTTTTTAAGGCTGGAGGTTCGACGGTTCAGGGATTGAAAGCTCGGGATTTGAGGCTGTGGATTGTTTTCGGATATCAGAGCTCCGGGTTTAGCTTGCTTTGGGGGTGTTTGATTCTTACGATGGAGGGTGCACTGGTTCGACGGTTTATGTAGCTGCGCAGAGTCTGGGCACCTGCCCTCAAGCGAACCCTCAGACGAACATTTAATCTAATAAGGGGTCCATCATAGACTGCTGCAGCTGGAGGGGGACTTGGAGCTCTATGTTGGCATGAGGAGGCTGAGACCTTCCAGCGACAGAAAACATATGCCCAAGGCACCTGGAGGATCAGGGAACTTGGTAACTAAGGACATTGATACGCATCGCTGGCTGCAAGAATCGTTAGTTGTCGTCATTTTACCCATTATCCCACCTAGGAAGTCCCGTGATCCTTGAAGCAATCAAGTCAAATCCAGGCGCCGAAACAGCGAAAGCTGCGCACCTTCGTCGGATTCTCCGGAAGATGCTCCGTAGCCTCTGCTTCGGGGCTTGCTTCCGGTTTGGGTTTCTGCCCCAAAACCCCACCTTCGGTAGAACTTACAAAAAGGTAAACGGTACGGGATTTGGGATCCAGGTCAGCTTTAGGGTTTAGGGTGCCGGGGAGGAGTGAAGTGGACTTTGACCTCAGGCGCTCTGAGAGATGAAGGCCTACACTCTCATCTCAACTCAACTCTAAATCCGTAACTGTCCCCCAGGGTTTAGGGTTTGGGGTTTGAGTCTTCCTGATCCCGATGACCGGAACCGGGACAAGCTTCAACTTGGCAGAAGCTTGAACAACAGCAGACCAGCCACAAATAGCGATAACAATTACAAACCTAGCAAGCACGAGCGCTCGGACATGCAACATAACTTCAGTCGCCGGCTTGTACATACTCGCATATCTCCACGTATTAATGCAGACATGAATACATCCTCACAGCTGAACCCCAAATTCTCGAGGATATCTAAACACGCTGCACTTCTAATGTTGGTCCATATTGCCCTTAGGCCCTAAACCATCCAGCCTGGGGTCCTACTACACTGCAAGTGTACAGGGACCATAGAGTAAGGAATACTACCTCAGCCCCCTAAACTCTAAACCCTATAGATCAGTTATAGATCCCTGAAAGGAACCCTTATAGATCCCTTTTAAAGGAAATGCTAAGCAGGTAAGGGGTGCAGTCCTCGCCTGTTCGCTTCCGTGGGCTGGTTGAGGGCAGAGGAGGACGTCCCCCTCGATTCTTCGAGCCCCTGACCGGGGTTTAAGTATTTAAAGGTTTAGGGTTTTCGGGTTTAGGGATGTAGGGTTTAGGGATTTAGGGTTTAGGGTTTAAGTATTTAGGGCTTAGGGTTTTAGGGGTTTGGAAGTCCAGCCGTGGGGTCTTGAAGTTTTTGGTTCGATTCTTCGAGCCCCTGACCAGCGAGTTAAGGGGATTGAAGGCTTGAAGGCTTGGGAGTCTGGGCTTGGGGTCTTTAAGGCTAGGTATAGAGATTTAGAGGCTGAGGGCTTCTTTAAGGTGGGCTTAGAGATTTAACGGTTGAAGGTTTCGCGGCTTAGACTCAGAAGTTTATGTGCACTTTAGGCTTCCAAGGCTTAGGCTTGTGGAGCTTTCGCAGCTTCTTGGTAGGGCTTTGTAGCCTGTAGTTGCAGGGCTTGGGTCGCTGTTCAAGCAACAAAGCTGTTCAAACAACAAAGAATCAAGCACCTGCATGGTTTCACGAGTTTAGCCAACCACGAACCCTTGAGGAAACCCGTGAATGTAGGAACCTGATTAAGAAACCCTGGGCACTAGGGTTCATACAAGGAACCCTAACAAAGGCCCTTGTTACCTGAATCAGGTTCCTACTTTAATATAGTACCCTTATAGATCGCTTAGAGTAACCCTTATAGACCCCTTAACCCTAAACCCTAAACTGATCCCTTATGGACCCCTGTAAAGGAACCCTACTTGTTCCCACATTATTATAGTACCCTTTTAATAATTTTTTATAGACCCCTTTAACGGAACCCTAATAAAGGCCGACGTTCTGCGACGATTCGGGCCTCCGTGGGGCTTCGCCCAGTGGT